GAAATGGCTACAGCAGCCTGACTTTCTTCAGAGCGAAAAGGCCACATGTATTTTTAAAAATAGGTTTCAGTAACACCTTGCCTGCAACCAATGTACTTGTCCATCCGAAGTTGAGCCAAGCAGGAATAGAAGGAAAGTTCCTTTGAATTCCAGTGACTTTCAGATCGATTTCTATCTCATTAACGTCACATCTTTATGAAGCTGGTCTAACCACCACGACTTCCCAGGGAACTGTGGAAGACATAGCTTTTAGTTCTCGGCACCCTTGTTTAAAAACAGCATTTGCCAGGTTTCTTGAGCAGAACGTGAAGCCGTGTGGCAGCCAAACTAATTTCTAAACTTGCTCGAACTCACAGTGTCAATGTCAAGCTGTGAGGGAAGACAAGCCTCTCCTGTCCAGATTACTTTTACTGTTTCCACTTTGAAATTGTAAGTGTCAGCCAAGGCAAATATTGGAATGAAATCTCACCCCGTTCCCAACCTCCTCTTCCCCCTTTGCTTTCCCTCGCTCTCACTTTAACTGTTGTGAAGCTGACTCTGAAGTATTTAACTGTTTGTATTTTTCTGTGCTGGACAGAACATTTTCCTTTCTGACACTTTCCAAGAGATGGCGAGTCCTGTTTACCTTCCGCTTCCCTCAACATTTTCTCTACTGCTGACGTGCAGCCAATTGTCCCTCTGCTTCCAGCTAGGTAGTCTCCTGTTTCTTACCTTTTTTAAAAAAAGCACTCTTTGAAATTACGCTCGTCACCAAAGTCACCACCTTCCCTTTGCTTCCCAACTTTGCTTGCTTCTCTGCCAAACTGCCACGGTGTCTTTTTTTTCCTTTTTCCTCTTCCCTTGCTCTTAAGCAGCAAAAAAGGCTAATCTGTTTGCTAAGAACATAGTTCTTAGCAAAAGCCAGAAGGCTGGTTCACACATCACACTAAACACAGGTTCAAGCTGCCTCTGCAGATGAAGAAGTCTTCGTGTGGCGGAGTGTAAACGTGCCGATTTGTGGAGCCCAGAGGTTGTGCAAACGGACTGCGCTTGTTGAAACATTACCTCAACTGTTCAAGTCTCCATCTTGGCTATCTGCATGCACAGGTTGTACCTTTGTGGAATATGGTGTGTGAACACCCTTAGCAGGATGGCTGAAAACCTGCCCAAAGGGAGGCAGATCAGCAAAAGATAGGACCAGTTTTGTGCTATACTATAATGCAGCATTTGCCAACCTGGTGCCCTCCAAATGCTTCAGAACTTGCAGTCCAAAGCACCTGTAGGGCTCCAGGGTGGCTAAAGCTGCTTCAGTGCAAGCTTGGCGGCCGAAAGAAGGGCTCGCCAACTAAGCAAGCTGGATGAAAAGTAGCGGTCCAAACAACTGCTTCTCTCTTGGCCTTGAACAGGAGCCAGTTTCCTAACCATGCAATGCAGCAGCTTCGTTGTGCAACTATATGTTCAAGTTTCCTGAAGCTTGAATGCTTGTGTGCCGTGTTTGCACCAGCCATGTCTGTGTGTGTCCTTATTCCTAATCGGCTTTTGTGCCTAATCAATTTGTTTAAAGTATTTTATTTGTTCCGCCTGCTTAGTTTAAGAGAATCCCTCTGAGAAATAAGGTGGTTTTTTCCATCTATAGCAACCTACCAAGCAGTAAAGAGAACTTGACCAGAAGTTTCTTCCCAGAAATCAGAACAGGCGGGTAATAAAATTCTCTGCCCAGCTTGGTAAGGAGGCCATACGGGCACATGACTTTCCAGGCTCTTGACAGCCTTGCAGATAAGCCAGCCTGCCTATGCATGTGAGTGCCAGCCCTTGTGGCACCTAGGCCACCTCCTGTTCCCTCCCCCCGCAGGCCCCTTTCGGTTTTCAAAAGCCTCCTTATCTGATCACCTGGAAGCAGGACTTAGTCACCACAGGTGAGTAGGCAAGTGGCTAATGTGAAAGGTTTGAAGACCGATAGATGCATCCTTGCTAAAGCAAGCATTTTGTCTTGTCAATTTCCAGCAGTCAGTATAGCCCAGAGGTCAGCAAACTTTTTCAGCAGGGGGCCGGTCCACTGTCCCTCAGACCTTGTGGGGGGCCGGACTATATAAGTGCAGGCACCCAGATCCTGGAGATTCTGCTATTTGCAGCCTAGGTCTAGATGCCTCTACAGATCTCACATTGCAAACCCCTTTGCCAAATGTATTCTGGCTTTTGTCCTCCTTTCTTTTTTAAACTCTGCGGGTTTCTTTCCTTCCTTCCTAGCCCACTAATCCAGAGAATGAAATTCATTCTTGGTGGAGGGGGATTTCTTTCCGATTGCTCTGATCTCCCTCCCCTTCAGAAACCCCCATAACATAAAGTTATTTGTTGATGTATGCTCCAATCTGACTCTTCAACGCCCTTTTCGAAACCCACCTTTTAAATGTTTCAAAACATGGCGTCTTTATGGCACCTTAGAGTGGACTGCAGTCCACCTCTTGTCAGTTGGTTGCTCACAACTAGGTGCACCAGAATTTTAATGCGTGTGCAGTCAAAAGCACCTCCGGGTATAGGGCGGCATATAAATTCAGTTAATAATATCATAATAATCCGTTCAGTACAGATAAGCAGCAGCCACACTCAGATGCAGATCCCAGCATATATTTGGAGACACACCAGATTCGTCTGCTCCTGATCCAACAAGAGATGCATGGAAGCTGGCTTACCTGCATGGGTCGCCTTAGCTCAGAAAGGTGAAGCACCTGTGGCCTTTTGGATATTGCTGGTCTCCCAACAGTCCCAACCATTATGGCCGGTGCTTAAAGAAGATGGCAGTACAATATTTGGAGGGCCCACGAGTTCCCTGGGAGCTAATTAACTGCCAGAGAGCCAGGGTCTTGCCCTACCTTAGCCACTCCCCGGACCATGTTTAGCTTGCTAAATATTGCACTTGCTTCTCCTTTCTGTATCTATGCCTTTCTTCACAGCAGTCCTTGGCTCTGCACGGAATAATGTCTCTCCTCAAAAGCTTTTTGGATGTGCTTTCTCCTTTGCATGTAAGTATAGCTGCACAAGACCATTCTGCCCACCTTTAGGAACTACCCAAAAGGGCTGGGGTTTTTTTGCAAACGGGTGCTCGTGATCTGCAGGGGTGCAGAGATGTTCCAATATTACTTCGGCTAAATTGCAACTCGGTAGCACAGTCAGAAGGGGCAAACCAGCAAGTGGCCAAACACAGCGACTCCAGTCCAGCAACAGTTGGTAGAACTTGGCTTTCCTTTTGATCAGTGGCGCAGTTTGGTCACAAATAATGTTCAAAGGGCTTTGCTGCTGGAACCTGTGCATGTTGAACCAGAAATTATATTCAGTTCAGTTGAAGTTACTTCCAAGTAAGGGTGCTGTACTGTACATATTGAATTCAGGGCGGTCTTCTAAATAAAGACGTTTAGGATTGTTCTGTTGATCTGATATCCAGAAAGTTTCATTGAGAGAGCATTGGAACATACTGCCAAGTAAAAATGCTTAATATCCAAGTGGTGAACGTTTAGTTCACTTTCAGCAGTGGTGGTTATCCAGGAAGGAGTTACTCCTCCCCCACGATTTGGAGGTAGGGCTATGCAATTTGTATTTATTTTATTTTATTGCCTGGCCCTTCACTGACAGGAGCCTCCCGCAACTCCAGAAACAGCACTTTCATGGTGCTCCCATTTTTATTTTTTGTGCTAGGGAAAAAGCCCACTTCACCGTTTTGTGTGATCTCCCAGCTTAACCGCCCTAAATACCCAGGTTTTACTGGTAGTCCTAGAAAAAACACAGCTTAGAGACACAAGCTCCATTTTTAATATGCATGCTTACGTGTTTATTTTCTATTTTATACGTGTTTTAATGTATGGGACAGCTGCCCATTCCTGCATTGCAGGGGGTTGGAATAGATGATCCTTAGGGTCCCTTCCGACTCTACAATTCTGTGATTCTATGAATACTTGCCATGAGACAGCCGAGTTTCTCTCTCTCCTCCCCCCCCCCCCATAACTTCCTGGAGCCAGCTTAGTATTCTGTCACTCAAACCAATAAGTAGAGAAATGATGACCAGCCCTTGAGTAAATCCTCACTCTTATATTTGGCCAGCTCCAGTAGTGTTTAGTCAGGAAGGTCAAGTGATCGAGAAGTTTACCATTCGCTTATTTTTATTTTTGAAGAAGTGCTTGCTATAAAAAGGAACAGGAAAACAAGACCCAAACTTTTATCTAATTTGGTTGTTTTTTTGTTTTGTTTTTTCACTGAACACAAGAAATGTCCACGGTGTCTTTTTCCAAGTGCCAAAGGCTATAACAGCTGCAGCTGTATATATATATTTGCACTTGAATAAAAACCATACCCCTTTGCTGTGCCCTGGGAGGGTTGGTGTTGGGGGGTGAGGGGTTTTTGTTTCTTACAAAAAAAGGTTTGGTGCAATGGCTTCACGTTGCTTCATAGTAAGACCAGTCTTGGTCTGCATCCCTGGAAGGTGTGATGGATATTAATACAGAGTTTTATTTTGGAAATCGCTCAGCGCTGGCCTGCCCACTTCTGTTGCAGCCAGTGGGGAAATGCGAACGGGAGAAAGAGTGGCTCTGGAATAGCATAGCAACAATGTGCCCCACCCATTGCAACTTGAACTTGCTTGCTTCTTTCCCATGTGTAATTTCATATCCTAAGCACCATACAATGGCTGCTTCCTAGACACTTGATTGGTTTTACCCACCACCACCAACACACACAGGGTTGATGGAGTTAGTTGAGATTCAATAAGGCTAGAGCTTTGCTATTGCCTGTCACAACCAGGGCCATCTTAAGCATATCCGGCGCCGTGGTGCAAAGATCCCTCCAGCACCACCTCCCTTTCCCAGAGTTGTCAACCTTTTTTTAGGGCTGGAGGAGGGGGCAGCGGCTGGAGGGCTGTTCCTCCGGCAGGTAAGAGGCAGAGGCTGGACGCAGCGCCTCCTGGCTCACCTATCTGCTTCGTGCTGCGGTGGCCATGGCAGGCAGCACGCTGAGCAAGGGCGCATGCGCCACTCCCACCGGGCGTCGGCTCGGTTTTTTCCCTTTTAGCCTGCATGCGCCTCGCGGAATTCAGCACCTACAGGCTAAAAGGGAAAAAACCGAGCCCATGCTTGGTGGGAGCGGCGCATGCACCCTCGCTCACTCAGCGCGCTCATTTGGTGTTCCCCGGACTCTCACCTGGCACCCTCCAGAACCTGGCGCCCTGGCTCCCCGCGCCACTAGCCTCTATGGGTAAGATGGGCCTGGTCACAACAGACAGCTGGTTTCCTATTTGACAGTGAGATTATAGGTGTTTGCCACACATGGTAGAAGAAGAAGAGAAGAGTTTGGATTTGATATCCCGCCTTTCACTCCCTTTAAGGAGTCTCAAAGCGGCTAACATTCTCCTTTCCCTTCCTCCCCCACAACAAACACTCTGTGAGGTGAGTGGGGCTGAGAGACTTCAGAGAAGTGTGACTGGCCCAAGGTCACCCAGCAGCTGCCTGTGGAGGAGCGGAGAGGCGAACCCGGTTCACCAGATTACAAGACTACCGCTCTTAACCACTACACCACACTGGCTCAATTCAGATAGATGAATTGCTATCTGAAACTGCCCAGTGAGTCCCATATTAAGAATGAGTATAAGCAAATGATGGCCTTGGTTGCTTGAAGCTCTGCCACCTTGCAGCCTTCCTCCAAATTCCCTGTCTAAAAGGGCATTAACGTGCCATCTCAGCCATACCCACCCACACACACCCCCGGGTGCTAAAATGTCAAACGCTAATCACCAAACAGGGAGCTATTCTATGAGGGCAACCCCTCAAAATCACATCACCTTTCACACACCAGCTGCATTCGGAGGCATTCGCTTCTTGGTCAGGGAATGTGTGTCCAGGTCACTTCCATTACACACTCTGTCTCCCGTCTTCCCAATTGGAACTATAGAGGGTCCAATTGAGGGAAAGTAGGGCTCTTAAAAATAATAACAAATGGGGAAAGGCTAGACTCCAAACATGAGGGAACAAAGAACAAAGTCTTGACGGAGCACCAAAATTCTAAAAAATATATATTGTGCGTTTAGTGTTGACGTTGAATGTGGTGTTAGTGGCAACTGGTAAGCCAGTAACAAGAGCTATGAGCTCCTAGACATTAACATATGAATGGGATCCCATGAACACCCAAGATGGGTGAGATGCAGCTACTTCTGTGATATCAAAATGAGCAAATAAACACTTGGGGCAAGCTATACCAGAAGTCAGTGTCAAGCAAGAATGCCAATGTTAATGGTGATAGTGCATTGTTATTTGGGACAGCTGCAACCACACTGGTTTACACATTAACCTTAACATAGACTCTTCACTATCTGCGTACTGCACCGTCAAAACTCCAACACGCTCTTTCTGCTGCCTAGACTGCTTGCATTGTTACCAGGTAGATGCATACACGATTTTTGTTTTCAAGTGAGCCCCATTTAATAGGCAGCCAACACTCACAAACACAGCCAGAGTTTGCAGATTAAAGCCATTTAATCCCATTCGCACCAAATCATGGGTTTTCTATGCAGCATGAACATGGGGCTCCCGGCTTCAAGAGCTGCCCTATTTGTTTTACTAGGGATGATGCTTACAAATGTCTTGTTTTGCTATGTGACAAACTGAGACGCGTGTTGTGAACATTTATTATACCTTAAGAGGTTTGTATCTTTCTGACTTGCCATTCGTGGACGCCAACCTGTAACCTTGCCATATCTTTGCACCGAAAGGGGGTGAAAAACCACGGTTGCATTTACGGTAAAGTAGTCCTTACATCTGTGTAGCTGGAGCCTGGCAGTGTAGCCTTGAAACATATATGAAGGGTTCTGTTTTATCTCCTCCTTTCCCCCAATTTTATCGATATTGAACTGTGAACAGCCGTAGGAATATGTCGTTTGTATACTTCTGTTTTGTGGGATTTTGTGTTGTTGTTTTTTAAGGGGGGGGGGAGTTTGCTGACTGCCTTAAAACTTTTTAGGTGTAGTTTCTTCTATTCGTTTCCTATTTTGAAAGTATCCTATGTTTTTACCAGAATGACTTTGTAACCGACTTACAGTGTTAATATAGCGCTATATATATATGTTATGTATCCGTCCATTAGACTTTTGTTAACACTTTTCAATGTCAAAAAATGGTTTTTCCAAGCACACTAACAATCGGCATCTTTGTGCATTTGACAGACATGGGGTTTGGGGTTTTCTTTTGGTTTTGTACATTTTCTTGGATGTTCATTCCTGAAGAGTCCGAACACACAAAAGCGGGAAGGAGAAAATACATTTTAAAAAAGCAAAAGCAAAACTTAACATGCATTATTCTTTCTTTTTCTTTTTCTTTTTTTGCGGCCTTCATTTTTAAAATATTTTGGTTTGCCACTTGAACTTTCTGGGAGTGATGGGGAGGGAAGAATTGGGAACGGGAGCCACTTGCGCCCAGCTGGTTTGCAGCCTTTAGGGGTCTCTTCTATCATTTGTACACACGCTCCATCCCCTTTTTTCTTTTGCTCTCCCCTTTTCGGTCACAGATCATTGGGCACAGTCACTGCCATTTTAAATTGTCCATTCTGTGCTCTCTTGTTCCCCCTCACAGCATCTTGGCAAGGTCCAAACATCTTTGAGCTTCATTCTTGCATGTTCCAGCCTCTTTATACTCGGGTCTGTTTTTGGCATTCCTGCATTCATTTGCAAAGGGCAGGAGGGCTGCCAGTATCTGGCACGAAATTAACCCTCAGAATCCTTTGCTTCAGTTTAGAAAGGGAGGGTGGCACAGGGGGAGAGGGCAGGTGCCTTGCAAAATTTTGGCAGCTGGGGTTTTGACTCTGGCTGGGGTGGGACTGCAGGGCAGCATCCACGGCAGTGCCGTAGATTCCAGCGTATTAGGCGACTGGGCGTATAAGGACCCTGACCATTAGGCCCAGTCGTGACCGACTCAGGAATTGCAGCGCTCATCTCGCTTTACTGGCCGAGGGATCCGGCGTACAGCTTCCGGGTCATGTGGCCAGCATGACTAAGCCGCTTCTGGCGAACCAGAGCAGCGCACGGAAACGCCGTTTACCTTCCCGCCGGAGTGGTACCTATTTATCTACTTGCACTTTGACGTGCTTTCAAACTGCTAGGTTGGCAGGAGCAGGGACCAAGCAACGGGAGCTCACCCCATCGCGGGGATTCGAACCACCGACCTTCTGATCGGCAAGTCCTAGGCTTTGTGGTTTAACCCACAGCGCCACCTGCGTCCCTCGGCGTATAAGACGACCCCCCAAATTGGCAGCTGCCAGTTGGGGGGGGGTCGACTTATACACCCAGTCTTATACGCGGCAGCTTCGCTGGGCAGCAGCAGTGGGCAGCGGGCTCCACTCCGCGCCAGGAGGAAGCCGCCCAGCGAAGCCGGCTTAGCATCGCTGGGCAGCTTCGCCGGGCGGCTTCCTACCGGCGCGGAGCCCACTGCCCAGCGAACCCATACCCGGCGTATAAGACGACCCCCGACTTTTTAGAGGATTTTCCAGGGTTAAAACATCATCTTATACACCGGAATCTATGGTATTCTGCAGATTTGCACAGATTTTGACTGTGCAGCAGAACAGCTCCTCCTTTCCCTCTCCCCGTGCACCTCTTAAATTTGTTTGGAGTACTTTTCGAACCCTCTGGAACAGATTTGGGGCAGGGGGAGGCAAATAATGTTGGAAACCCCCCTTGAGGGTCGAGTTTTGCCGCCCTCTCTCCCCACCATGTGGAACAGAACGAAATATTTTCAAAACAGGCAGAATAAGCATCGTTAGATTGATTCAGATTGCCAAATTGTGCTTCTTTCGGGAAGAGGCCTGCCAGCCCCGACTATATGAATCCCACCCTAACCTTCCTCCTCACTTTCCCCTCACAGTTTCCTTTTTTTAACAAACAGCTGTTGTTGGGTTTTTTGTTTTCCTTTTCGCTTTTATTTTTTGCTTCCCCCTTTTTGGATTCTGAACCTTTTCTTTCTCTCTCTCTCTCTCTTTTCCGTAGCTTCTTCTTTATGTAGCTGTCAGTCACCTTGCCAAGGTCCACTTCCCTCTCTCCTAATGGACAGTAGCGTATTAGAGGAGTCAGCATGGCGTATTGCCAGACACGCCCATTGGGAGACAAGTTACCTCATTCTTCCACCACCTCTGCCTTTCTGTCTTTTTCGAAAACTGTGACTCACCGCGGTGTGTGTGTCTGTGCGTATGTGTGCGTGTCTTTCCCGAGTTGTTAGTCCACTCGCCGCTGGCGACCGATCTTGACTTTTCACACTGCCCAGACTGAGAGACACAAAAGGTGGCAGAGAAAACTTGGGTGGCACCCAAGACATTGCACTGGGAATTTTCTTCTTCCTTTCCTTTTGATACAACGGGCACCTGCCGCTCGACATGAGAACAAGAAAATTGTGGACTGCAAAAGAGTGTGTGTGTTTGCGTGAAAGAGGGAAAGGGTGTGTGTGTGTGTGTGTGTGTGTGTGTAAAAGCCAGAGATGGTTGCTCAAGCGTTAAGACCCTACGCAGCTCTAGCACTAAATTTAATTCTCTCTAAGAGACACCGCAAAAAATGGTTGCTCAGAAAGCCATATGAACTCTCAAAGGTTCCCAGTATTTGTCTTCATAACACTCCCTAAATTGAGGGTGGGGGAAGTAACGACGACAACAACACTGGTTTGGACGTATCCGAACTTAAGGAAGGAGCCATCCATGTTTCAGATTGCAACCTGCTTTTAATCAGGTTTCATTTGTGTAGGTTGTCCCACATAAACTCAGGATTGGCCCTGCAGGTACACTTGGCAGGAAGCAGTCACCGATCCCAACTCTTTTTGCGTGTGATGCTCATATTTATCTCGTTCACGCATTGTATTCTCAGGTGTATGCTTGATTATTATTTCTCAAGAATATACTTAAAATGCAATGGGTGAAAGTGGTCTGAGAAGAAAAAATCCCGTTTTTTCTTTCCCTCATCTGGGGTGTAAGGGCTGATTTCTTGGATTTTCAAACTGGCCACGTTTAAGAAATGAAGACAATTGTCCTGGTTCAAGAGACCAGCAGCCTAGACACTTGTAGGTCTCAACATCTCAGAGGAGCCCTGAACTTCCATTGAGTCTCATGGTCTG